GTATTATTTCAAATATCGTTCAAAAACGTCACATTTTTGTCTTATTCTTCATGTTAGTTTTTTTAAAAAAAAAAAATCGTATTGTTTTACTTTAAATTGAGAATTTTCTGAATTGTAATGGTCTTGTTGGTCTTGGAAACACATGGGCAAAACAATGTGCTGATGTGGATGAAACCAAACTGTCAATCTGACGCTCACAGGCTGGTGTTTAAAAAATAATAATGTATTTATATTTCCCTTCTTCATCAATATCAATCTGAATGTGACTCCATATCCTCTGCAAACATGGACTGAACAGTGCGGTGTGTGTGTGTGTGTGTGTGTGTGTGTGTGTGTGTGTGTGTGTGTGTGTGTGTGTGTGTGTGTGTGTGTGTGTGTGTGTGTGTGTGTGTGTGTGTGTGTGTGTGTGTGTGTGTGTGTGTGTGTGTGTGTGTGTGTGTGTGTGGATCATCAGGAGCTCTGTGTCTCTGTGCCCCCCCCCCACACACATGCCAGGTTTACCCTCCTTTAGTCCCACGTTGATACACCTTCTGTCTCAATCTATTTCTCTTCCTCTCTTACGTAAGCATGTCAAGTGATTTCTGTTCCTCTTTTCCCCTCTTTTCTCTCCTCCTCCTCCTATTGCCTTTCTTCTCATATTTTCACCTATCTTCCTCCGTTCCTTTCTCTTCCTCTGTTGCCCTCCTCTTCCTGTTTCCCCCTGCTGCCCAGACCACCATCTGCCTGTCTGAGTCCATGCAGAGTCTCAGCAGTCTCCCATCAGCATCATTTCCTCTTCTTTCTCTTTAAACACAAATAAGAGAAGGGTCTCTCTTGGGACTGCCACAGATTGTTTGTCACTTGCTCATTTTGCTTCATTTTGTTGTTAAAAACTATAAATAGAGAGATGCAGAACTCGGTAACATCTCCTTCCTTCCTGTGGCCTACATAGGCTCTAATGAGCTGGTGAGTGTCTCCTGCTGCACTGCACAGGGACCAGCCCCCTGTCTGTGGTCTGCTCTGAGATTCTCTTGGGGTCTCTGAGGGTCTCTTGGTGTCTCTGAGGTTCTCTGAGGGTCTCTGAGGGTCTCTGAGGGTCTCTGGGGGTCTCTGAGGAACGGAGCAGGCTATCAGCAGCTGCCACTGTGTTCCCTCCGCTCATCAGAGACATTTTGTTGAGGCTTAACTCTTAACTTTTATGTTTTAATTTATTTTGTTTTTTTTAATTGAGTTATTAAATCATCCAGCAGTGGCTCAGTCAGTAGGGGCTTGGACTGTGAGCTGTAGAGTCGCCGGTTCAATTCCCCGAACAGACCTGAAATATGGAGTGTGGACTGGCACTTGGAGAGGTCCCAGTTCACCTCCTGGGCCCTGCCGTGGTGCCCTTGAGCAAGGCACCGGACACCACCCCACCAAAATCACAACAATCTACCATCAGCGAAACAGGTTACCTGACGTCTTCATATACTGTCTATTTATTCTTTCTTTATACATTTTTCTTAAACCTAAATATGTTCATACAGCCCTTAAAATCATAAAGAATTCCACAGTTTAACGCCAGAGATACACATCTGGATCAGGGAACCCGACGCGAAGCGGAGGGATCTTGATGAGCCTGAAGGGTAAACACCAGGCTTACTAATCTACCCGCACAATTTTTCTCTGGTGTCGGAATGTCTTGCGATGTTTGTAAATTAATTTCGGGTTAAAATGTGTTGTAACTGCGTTACTGAGAATTGTAACGGGTAATATATTACCCAAATGTCATTAGTAATGCGTCATTACTTCATTACAGCAAAAAGTAACACATTACTGTAACTCCGTTACACCCAAAACTGAAACACACAACACAGAGCGGAGCTGAGGCAAAGCCACAAACAGACTCACATCATGCACACTAGTGACCGGACATCTCCTTCATAAAACTAATACAAGGGGGAGTAATCGGGCAGTGTTGTGTGTGTGTGTGTGTGTGTGTTGTGTGTGTGTGTGTGTGTGGTTAAAACGTAAGCAGCCTGCGGTCGCTCTTTAGCTGTTCTAATGAAGGTAAACACAGTGTAGGCGGTGCGTAAAAGGCACAGCTCTTTGCGCGCTGGTGCTGCAGAGGCTGCTGAGTTAAACGTCCCGCTGCCTCCTGGAGTGACCGCAGGCTGCTACGTTTTAACCACACACCCCTGGCCGAAATGTCCTTAAAATTAAGTCTGAGTTCGAAATATGTCTCAAACAATGTATGCACTGTCATTTCGTTGATACACCTTCTACAAAAGTCGGGCCCCCCAACACAAATAGTCACGTAATGGGCCAAGTTAACATTTATTAAAATACATCAATATGAACGTGAGCATTCCTTTAAAAAAAATCACTTTGCTAGAACAGTGATAATAAAACAATGCTCCATAAATCTGTGTGCTCAAAAAAATTAATACATAATACAATTGTGCAATCCCTTTGCTAGAACAATAAGTTTCCAAAAAATTCAAAGAAAAAAAAGTGTGTCTTATCACAGCATTAGTGGCTGCAATGAGCCTGTTTTGCACTGCACATTTCTTCAAAACGGGGTTGCAGGCTCAGTGGCGGCGCCAGAGATTTCTTTTGGGGGTGCTGTGGGGTAGGGTTGCATAGAGGGTGCTCAAACATTTAGGGTTTCCCATTAATGTACCGGGCGCTACAGTGGAATTTTCTACTGCAACACTCCCCACACGCACACAGTACACCCACGACTGTTACAATGAAGGCTCGATAATCAGCTCACGGCATATAGGTGTAAGCAGCGGTAAAGTGCTATTTTTATAGGTGGTGTGTGGACCTAACATCCTCTAGGGGGGTCTGGGGGCATGCTCCCCCGGGAAGATTTTTTTTTAAATATTGAAGTTAAAAGCATCAATCTGGTGCACTTTGAGAGCAACATGAAGAGATCTATGGATACATCTCTCAACACAACAACTTTATTCTTGTTTTACTGTCATAGTATTTCATACCTGTTTTTCATTTATTCTCTTGTTTTTTTTATATCTATAATGATCATATGAAGGTGTGCCTCAGAAATAATTGTTTACATTAATCGTGACCAAAACGTTTGAGACCCACTGAGATAACTTAGACTAAAGTTAAGTATCTAAACACTCAGAGAGTCCTTTAGCTCACTGAGCCTCTCAGTCTGACAGGAGAGGACTCTCCTCCACTTTGTTGTTGAAAAAGCTCCTTATATCCGTTAGCGTAGCTCGCTAGCACCAGAAGCTAACAACAACGATCTCCGGTACCGGTGCGCTCTCTCTCGCGCGCTCGCGCACGCACACAAAATGGCTTGTTCCACCAGATTATTATCTTGTATTATTATAACAAGATAATAATAATACAGATAATAATAATAATAATAATAATAAGGACTGGAGATGGCATCTCTTCTCTTTTTTAGATTGATGTATTTGAATGCACGATCCTTGTTCCTGAAGACAAATGTTAATAATGCAGATCATTTCTATTCTCTACTCCTTCCTAAAGGGATGCATGGAATTTTTATAAGTTTACTCCTTTGGCAACTCACCCGAGATAAGACAAAAGCATTGGCTCTGAAGTCAGCGTGTGCATGCCAACAAAGAAAACGTAGTGTCAGTCTAAAAGCAGTGGAGAGTTACTTCACTTATTGTTCAGAGGATTCGTAAAGAGGAAATAAATTCATCAATAAATCATGTGTTTGTTGTGGCCAAGGCTCTCCTCTGAGACGTAATTAACTGTGTTTACACCAGGAAGGGAAAGTAGTCCAGATTAAAACAATGGAGGGCTCTGTGTACTGACAGGAGATCTGCATGCTGCTCACACACGGGCTAAAAGAGTAATACAAGAAAATACCAAATGAATGGACAGAGCTAGAATCAATCAATCACATCTTGCTTGTGATTTGTTATTAATACAAAGTCATTACTTTACAATATAGTAATAAGTAGTAGTTTAATCCTTCTGTTTAACATCAGGATTGAGTGATCTGTATATGAATATTGCAATATTCAATCAGACTTTTAAATGCTTTTAAAATATATTTCAGTTTTGTATGTGTGACACTTTGGTACTTATAATATACATATAGCGACAGCAGGAAACAAACAAAGTCGCTGAGAGGCTGAGGCCGGGCCTGTTTGATATTGTGTGACACGCTACAAAAATTACTTGCTGAGATCAAAAACTCTGTTGAAAAATAATGTAGTTTAATGAAATTTGGGTTGATCAACTTATTTTCCTTGGACATATACATTGTTATAGTAATCAAAGCAATCATTAAACTTGCGGTCAACAAAAAGTACAACGACCCTGGCCGTTTCTCAATGTCGAGTAAAGCTGCTCCAGAGCCACTATTTCAAGCATACTACGTCATCGAGTGGCGCCGAAGGACTGTTTAAATGCCCAGCATACATGGGCTACCAAGCAAGCCTCCTCGACATTGAGAAACGGCCCCTGTGTCACCCTCTCTTCCACACACACCTCACGCAGGTGAACAGGATTATAATGAGTGCCGCCCATATCCATGTGACCCAAGCTAACCAATCAATAGTGATCAAACACATATCTTATATTAAAACAAAACGCATTACTATACACGTTTCATGGCTCCTACAATACATATACATATATATGTGTAATTTGTTCAGTAAAGCAAATGCAGGGTGTTTGGTGGAGTGTATATGACTTGCAAATGTAATAATTAATTAATTAATTGAGTAACAACACTCTACTTTGGCTATCAAAACTGAAAGTTTAACTTTTAATAAATTACGGTAATATAACGTTTAGCAGGTCGGGGCTCCACTGTCTAAACAGAGAGAGAATATGATAGCACAGTTTAATATTATAGTCTCATAATCCATAATTGGAGTTGACTTGGTGAACAGTGGCTGATTTACTTCACAGACAATACACATTAACAGGTTCTTTATAAATTAAATTTGTATTTACTACTAAGAATATATAGAATACTGAATAACACAAGTATGACATGAATACTGTGAAATGCTCTGTGTTGTCTGCAGCGATGGAGGAGCTGGATGGAGACGAGGTGAGAGTGTCCTCCAGGGGGCGCTCCGCTGAGAGAGACATCGTCCAGGTGAGTCCACATGCACCCTGACCTAAGACAGGCCTTTATTACAGATGTTAGCACAGCTGCATAAAGAAGCCTCTGATCCGACCCTGCTCATGGTCACACAAAAAGACACTTTGAGTTTAAAGCTAAATATTTGTATTCTTTTTTTGTATTTTTTGTTCAAAAAGTAGAATAAAATAATAAATATTGTTGGTGAAATACACACATTTAAGAAATGTAAATCATTCAGTCAGTCAGTCTTTCCAGCAAACTGCTCTCATCCTTTCTCAGGCATCAGCAGCCAAACCCTCTAATATGTACAATTCATCATTAATGTCCTAATAGCTGATACACTGTATATTTAAGCAATAGCTCACGACAGGCCGTGGTATATGCTCATTATATCACAGCTAAGGGACGTGGTTCGGCCCGACGCGAAGCTCTGTTCTGGAGATAGGCACTCCTCAATCCACTCCTCCATAGTAAGACCCCCCCCCCGGAGGTCGAAGTTAATCTTAAATGTTTTTGCTGACCTTTTTGATTACAGATTTGAAAACATCGTTGCTTGCTTTAAAAGTAGCACAATTCATTATGTCAAACCTTGGAAAGTATCTAGATATCCCTGCCCTAATGCCAAAGGAACTGCACACTGAATATGTTTTGCAGGTTTGATGTCTATGTCTGGACCGCTGCGTAAAAAGGAGGGTTTCTGCCCCGTTACTTCTCCGCTGTTTTCTTGTCCCAGTTTGAAAAGCAAACTGCAGGCAGTTTGCTTTTCAGCCCAACTGTATACAGCTTTTCTCAGACGCGGAGGGATACTGACTTGTTGTGAAAAGTAACTACAATTCTACCCGTGGTATACGCTCAGTATACCACGGCTAAGAACCAATCAGATTGCTTGATTTGACTTGTCCGTTTTATAATTTGTAATATACACGTTATATATTGTAGGACAATATACAAATGTTTACTTTATCCTCTAATGTTTATATAAATGTTTTGATTTTATTATATTTAAGTGTATCTTTTATTGAACATTTGACTCAAACTTCTTATTTTTCTTTAAAATAGATTTGTTTTATTTCATCTTTTTATTACAAACTTACTTTAACTTCTTGTGTTTGTATAAATATTATCTTAATTTAACTTTCTTTACAGGCTGGTGTTTGAAAAAGAATAATGTATTAATATTTATATTTCCCTTCCTCCCCAATATCAATCTGAATGTGACTCCATATCCTCTGCAAACATGACCCCATATCATCTTTAGTATAACATTCATATCATATTATTTTTCCTATATTTTTACCCAGCTTTTTGTTTAATTTCATTCTAAAATGGTCACCTGTCAATCAACCAGTGTCCCTTCTCTCCAGTTTGTCCCTTTCCGGGACTACATGGACCGCTCGGGGAACTCGGTCCTGAGCATGGCCCGGCTGGCTAAAGACGTCCTGGCAGAGATCCCCGAGCAGCTGCTGTCCTTCATGAAGAGCCGGGGGCTGGAGCCCCGCCCCCCCCTGCCCGCCGCCTCAGACCCACCCTCCATGTCCACCAGCACCCCCGCCCCCAGGCAGAGCAAAGCGCACGCCTGAGAGCCAGCAGATTCACAGGATGTGGTGTGTGTGTGTGTGTGTGTGTGTGTGTGTGTGTGTGTGTGTGTGTGTGTGTGTGGTGTGTGTGTGTGTGTGTGTGTGTGTGTGTGTGTGTGTGTGTGTGTGTGTGTGTGTGTGTGTGTGTGTGTGTGTGTGTGTGTGTGTGTGTGTGTGTGGTGGTGTGTGTGGACAGGAAATGTTTCAGGATTTTGAAGATCATAATTGGAAGAGAACAACTACCAAAAGTGTTGGTGGGGAGGATTCCTCCAACTGGACTCATAGCAAATGCTCTTCTGATCAGTTTACCATTTGAGGTTCTGACTTTGTCAGCACCTATCAGAACGCAGGTGAAACACACAAACTGCATTTATATCAAAGGATTCAAATGTAGTTTGATCCTCAGTCATCAAATACATTTCTAATGTTCGAAAAAAAAGCACTGCAGAGCTTTTTGTTATCACAACTCCTCCTGCAGATGTCAGTCTTCAGTTCCTGCTCACAGGGAGAGAGGGTCCGTTGTGAGATGAATCCTGAGGGGGGCTACCAGTTGAGCTCATCAGTTGTGAAGAAAGACAGCAGTGGGCGGGGGTCCTCTCCTCATTAGTTTATTCTCAGGGCATTTGAAAGACAGTAACAGTAAAACAGAGGGTCTGAAACAGAGGAGCAGTTGGGTTTAATCCTGTCCTGTATCTGACCGCTTCTTTTCACTGCTTCATGAACATGCTGCATATTTATCTATGCTAAGAAATGTTTTAATATGTAAAGGGATGGAGAATGTCCTGCATTTCGAGGTCAACTTTTAGAGACTGAGCGCCAGAACATCGAAAATAATCCCACTTGGACGCGCAGGGCATGAAAATGTTGCCATGAAATGGTGTGGGGATGGAGAACAGACCGGAACATACCGTGCACTGCCAGCCCCCCTTCCCTCCAGCCAGCGTAACATCTACCATTTAGTGAGGCACAGACTATTGCCGCGCCGGTGGTGAACAATGCCTCTGCTTCTGAAGCTGTCTGGAGCATGTACCTGTTTAAAGTGGGTTAATGCACATTTCACAGGTCAGATATGTAGCAGAGAATGTGTGAAAGTATCACCTTTCATTTTGTACTGCAGGGAAGACACCGACAGAAAGAGTGATGAGAGCTCAGAGAGTATGTAGCGCTCAGCCTGACTACTGTAGGGACACTTCAGTTTGATACATGGCTGCCTTTTCTCTTCAGCTACTGTAGTAAGTGAATGCTGACAAATTGGTTTAATTTTGTATTAGCCTTTTATTGTGTTAAATAAGGATTAAAGCAAAAATGAACCAGTGTTTCAGCAGAACCCCAACATCATTTGGCTTTAACAGGCTCTCTGTTCCTCACATACACAAACAACCTTTATATCTGACCTGTGGTACTTGGATAGGCAGAATTACAAACAAATGAAAGTTTTGGAGGTCTCTAAAGCTAATAATTACAAACATAGTCAGCAGGATTTGTCAGGATATTTAGCATATTGTGTCAGAAAGGAAACGGATATGTGGCCTTATTTCTGTCATTATCCTAACAGGAATGGGTGATGGAGGACTCTATTTTTATATGACAAAACATGAAATCTATGTTACTTGCATGCTTATTTGGCTAATATGCTGCCAATGATGTTCTGTATTTCTATTCATATCCAAAAATGACTTCAGACTACAGAGGAGAGTTCTGTTTCTGTGGTTAGTGCAGGATGCTTAAAGATCCCATGTCATGGCCATTTCTACTGATCATATTTCCATTGTTGAGGTATACTAAAATAGATTTATATTGTGCAATTCTCCAAACTCTCATTGGTTTCTCATACAGCATCTCTGTATAGTATGTGTATTCACCAGGTATTCACTCTCTGTCCTAAACGGCTTGTTGGAGCTCCTGCCCCCCCCCTCCCTATGAGCCCAGTGGCCCTCTGCGAGACAGCGAGACACAGTGAAACCAGCCCGAACACACACACACACCCGCAGCCTGGCTGTGAGTCTGTGTGTGTGCTCACACACAGACTCACAGCCTCGCCGCGTCCCGCCGTCTCAGGGAGGAGAAATCGGCGGAGCTGCAGCTGAGAAAAGATTGAGTGTGTGTGTGTGTGAGGAAGTCCGCGGATTGGTCAATTTGGACCAATCCACGGACTTAATGTAACGGCTCCGCGAACGTAACGTAACGGCTCCACGGATTGGTCCATTTGGGCATGGACACGTCACTGTACCCAGGAAGAAAACAATGGAAAAAGAGAAATCTCCAACGAGGCGTTCTGGGGCAGCATAGACTGGTCTTTTCTGTGTTAGAGTTTTACTCACTACAGGGTGTACTTTGAGGGTTTGTGACTCTGCAGACCGTTTACATGCATAAAAAGCTACATAACACACAAGGGGACGGTTAATAACCGGAAAAGCATGACATGGGACCTTTAAAGGACTGCCAATATGATCATGGAGACAGATGAACAGTAGGATATATTTGTATCACAGTGTTTAATATATGCATGCATGTGTTATGGTTCACACCAACCCAAAGTCACAAAGCGTATTGGACTCTTTTGTATGGAGCATGTTGTATACAGTGTGTACAGTATTAGTTTATTAAACAGAGGGACAGACAACATGCTGCTCACTACTTCTCCCCATTGTGTTCAAACAGCCTAACATGTAAATACATCTAAAGTACTGCACAGAATATTTTGTAAAGTCTGCCTCCCTTCCGTTTTGTTCTTCTCTTATTCTCTAAATATGTACATGTTATTTTTGTCACCATCAGTGTTGGTCAGAAATTAGGTTTGTCAATGTTTTCTAGTTTTTGCTTAGAAACCAAATAAAGATATTGTTTAAAAAATCATCTGTAATCTTTCACTCACTCTATTTAGATTTTATTCTTTCCTTTAATTATTTTTGTTTAATTAAATTAACCAAATGGTTGGAGATGACAGCTTGAGTGTGTCCAGCCATTAAGGTATGGCCATGTGTCATAAGGAGTAAAATAAGTGTCTGTTTCAGAGTTATATTTTGACTTTAGCATGCATCAAATGAACATTTAAAAACAGTTGTGAGTCATATAATATTGTGATAAATCATGTGTTAGGCAATTTATTTACTATCTCTTTATTCTATAAATGAAGAATGGCTGGAACAGTCATCAATTTGAGAAAATTACAAATTCTACTTTTAGCGCACAAAATCAGAGCAATAGTAAAACACGTATTGTACACGTACACAGCAGGGTGATTATTAAAGCTTTGCCTCTGATAGTTCATATTTGGGACAGAAGTAGCTCCAGCTTATATGACTGAGTGTGGTGAAGAGATTTAACCATTCTTTTCTCGCAGGCTACGGATGGAGATCTCTTTAACGTTTTTTGTAGCACACTGCCACTCAGTGGAAATACATAAAAAACACTGACTGGGAAATGAAATGTTGACTTTCTAAGTTTTGGCTTCACATTTCAATTTTAAATAAAAACAATTATGTATTACTAAAACGGGTCCCATTTTACTAATACATTCATTTCTTGGAACACAGTGCAGGGATTTGTTTTGCCCACTAGATGGCGGCAGGGAGAGACTGTTTGTACTGGGCCAAAGACTGGCAGGAATACATGTGAATCCAGTATTAGCTCAGTTATGAAGACAGGCATGAACGTTACTGTCTATAAAAGTCTTGACTAGTTTTAAGTTTGGCAACGCTTTGTAGCTGTCATTGCTGCCAGAGGTTGCTATTCATCAACCGTTTCTATTCGGAAAAAAAAAACGTAAGATCTGAACGCTGTCATGTGACATCCTATCCAAATAACCTTCTGCAGGTCTTCTGGATTTTGGAATGTGTGTAGGGTCATATCAGGACGCATCCTTCCTGGGGCCCCAGCCCTTTGCCTTAGGTCCAAACTTAAAGAAACGGCTGATTGAGCCAGGCTTGTACTAGAGGACGAAGCACAGCCTGACCCCTGTATACCCCCTCTATAACCTACAGCAGTGGGAAAGAGTCCAAAAGAAAAACATTACTTATAGTGAAAACCCCCCTTGAATGATGGGATAGTAGACTAAAAGCTTTAGGAATCCAAACTATAACATATAATAAGTACCCTGTATCAAGATTGATGCAAAACAAGTGACATTTGACCTTTTTAGAGAGATTTAGCACAAAAAACACCATTGTGGTCATTTGGGTGGATTTGCCATTTCTCTGGAACCCATTGGTCGATTTCGGTGATTGACACCTCTTTTTAACCGTTAGAGCCAATAGAATCGAAGGGGAATTTCCACATAAAAAACACGTTACCATTGAGGAATGAGAGTGACGCAGTCGAAAGCTATGTTACGCTCTGAAAACTGAAAACTGAAACCTAGGCTCAAACTAGTAAATATGAAGATGGATTATCAGTAATCATTTCAAAGTGACACAGACACATTGGATTAACTTTCAGCAGCGTTTTTATCGTTTTGATGCCATTGAACACAACTTTTGATCAGAACAACAGCAAAGGTAAGACTATTCGCGTGTTTGCTCCGTAAAGCTACGTTGTGTGAGTTCTGGTCGCTCAGTGATGATAATTATATTTCTGGAATCTCAGTTTGCTAGCTGATGTCATGTTTGTGCAGATCTGATAAGTGGTGGAGTGTTTCTATCGTGAGTTCTGTGCTAAGTGCGTTAGCATTTTTTCGCTCAGGGCTAATTCAGAGGCTCGGCGTTAGACTTGTGTTTTGTTTGGCTAAAAATGGTTCATATTGTCAGTTAGCCGAGTTTCTTCCCGTTAAGTGGATATGACACATTCATCGTTTGTTAAATGTTAAGAAGCCCTCAGACGCTGTTTCTTGCAAGATGTTGCATTTTGCCCCCGCAGGCTTAAAGGTGGGGTAGGTAATTCACTTCAGAAACACTTTTTGTTATATTCCATGGAATGCTCTTAACATCCCAATAGCAATGAATACATTAAATGCTTTGACAATAAATACATAACATTTCATCTGTGGAAGCCGTGGCGCTGTAAAA